AAAAATTTTTCTTCTGGTTTTCTGAGGACGATGGAAAATTTTGACATACATTATCAGGTTTCAAAGCTAACTTACTAAAATATTTTATTTTGGGTAATTTCATATAATTAGACATATAATCGGAATAAATTAAGGAAGATCATGACTTACAATAAGTTGATTCAGATCCAGCTGGTGCTTGAATATTTATAAAACTATAAATTTTAACTTGTTTGAAAAACAAAAAAGAAGTCTTTACTTAGAATTATTCCATAGAAAAATTGCCGTCATCATGAATGTCACTCATTCATTGTTAAAAAAATTCCACTTCACAAAGGAAAGCGTCAATGACTATTGATATTACTTCCTTCTCTGGAGAAATTTGAGTTCTTTTAAGTTAAATTATCATAAAAGGCGTCCGATAATGAGTCCTGGTAGAATTAGTCATTTAGCACTTATTCATCTTGTGCACATCGCCAATTGAAATAATTACTAGCTGTCAAATGTGCTTTGAACTCTACCATTCACAATAATCAGCTCTGGTATGAAAATATTGAGGAAGAAAAACAAAGCATTAAAGGAAACTCTAAGATTGCTTTCGAGAAAGAGTATTAAGCCTTCATTACAAGTACTTAGTAGATCTCGATAAAAAAAATTAAAAATTAGATAAAAAACGAATAAGAAGTTATGTATTAGTTCCCAAAATAATTGCATATAGATGTATTTTAAATATCCTCAGAAGCTTATTAAGTAGTTCTATTGAAAATTTAGCTTTGACTTTCCTTAGGATCATGCCAAAATATTATTTTGACAATGAGAAAAAAATGATAAAACGAGCATAGAACTTCAAATAACAGATGAGTAAATAAAAATAGTCAGATTTCTCAAAAGTCTCATTTTTCGAGCAATCTCTCAAGGGAGGAAATCTAAAACGAATTTTTCAATGAAAAAGAATATTTATAAAAATATTTGAAATATATGTAAGCCTATCAGAGACATCCATCGCGGCACTGCCGCCGTAGTGATGGTGTCGCGGCAGCGGCAGTTGTCTTAGGAAAAAATTTCAATAATTCACGAATTTTCATGCTCAATTATGCTATACTGTAAGACAAAGAATCTGATCGATTACCGGCATCAGTTCTTGTTCGAATCAGTCACAGCCTTGAAAATCAAAACGTTTCTTCGAATACCATCGCGGCAGTGGCAGATTTTGAGCCGCGATGGACATCTCTGATGTCAACAAAAAGTAACAAAAATATGATTAACAATTCATTACAGGGTGCTCTTTATGTGTGTGGAGTGTTCCTAAAAAAATGATTTGGTTCTTCACATCTTATATGTCCAAAAAGTTTTAATTATTGCCGCAGACATTTTTCGACCATGGTACATCTCACTAGACTATTGAAAGCGAAGAAAATTTTTTTCCACAAAAGTGGTAGAAATCCCTATGATTCATCCAATTATATTTGACTTGAATGAAGCATGTCGAATGTATACAACTGTAAACGCATTCATCAAGATAGTAATAAAAAATTCATAAGATAATAGTCGATGGATTAATCATCCTATTTTAATCTGAAATCGTATAAAATCTATGTTGAGTTATACATTTTTATTCTAGTTAGTCAAAGAAGCATGAGCAACTTGGGGATGCAATAAATTTTTGTTGCTTTCCCTTGCATTGCTGGTGCATCGCCCAAGGTCTACAAAGACGGCACAAAAAAATTATCGTCGCAATAAATTTTTGATTGCGTCTCCAAATTTTTTTAGGGTACGCGATTGTAGCCCCTCGTCGTGCTGGCGCGTCGCCCGTGGTATTGCCTGACTGTTAGATAATAAATACTTTTTGATATGTATATAGCAAGAAAAATTAATAGTCTGTTATCTTTTATAAATATTAGAGTTGTAAAACTAATAAGAAAATAAGTTAAATGAAACCAAACAAAATTTGTTTGATCTTTCTTTAGGATATTTTCATTTCAGTGTATCATGGGTTTTATTAGCTGTATTTATATATATGTTTCGAAAACGTCAACATACTCAATCTCTAGTACGACATAAAAAGTTAAATGAAATAAATAAAAATAAAGAACAATATATTAAAGCATGTTTTCATGAATTACCATCATGGGTAAATGAAATTTTTCAGAAAAAAAACAAACACATTCTTTTCTCTTATAGGTACTTTTTCCTGACATAGAACGAGCAGAATGGATAAATCGAATAATAAAACAAGCCTGGCCATATGCAAATCGATATCTTGATCAAGCTGTTTTTTCTGATGTACTTGTTCGATTAGTTCGTGGAGCATCATCAACTTTAGCAGATTTTTCATTTGAAAAACTTGATCTTGGAGAAATCGTATGTTATTTTTTATAAACTTGTTTTGCTTTTTATATTTAAGTTTCACTTTTAGCCACCTAGAATTGAAGGTATTAAAGTTTATACAGACAATGTTCGTGATCAAATTATTATGGATATTGAAGCTATGTATGTTATAGAAATCAAGAATTATTTTTATTTTTTGAACTTAAATTCTCTGTTTGTTATTTTTCTCTGTTAGTTATACTGGTGATGCAATTATTAAAGCAAAGTTGAAAGGCATTGTGTGTGGAATTAAAAATATACAGTTTGTTGGTGATATTCGAATTATTTTAAGTCCTTTAATTAATACAATTCCATTAGTGGGTGCAGTAACATTTTTTTTCTTGAAAAAGCCTGTAAGTATAGAAAAGATTTATTTTATGAAAGAGAAAATTTTGATTTTGTGTTGATATTTTAATCATTAGAGTATTGATTTTCAATTAACCGATGCCGGAACATTAGTTGATATACCTGGTCTTCAGTACACAGAAATTTTAAAATTATCGAAATATCAAATATTAATTTCTTTTTTTCATAGTGACTTATTACTTGTTCAAATCAATGATATTATAGCATCAATGATGGTTTTACCTAATAGACAAGTTCTTCCATTTGTTAAAGATATACCAATCGGATACTTAAGATGTTCTAATCTTCAAGTTATATTGTTAGAATTTAATATTAATTATTAATGAATTAATTTTTATTTTTAGAGTGTTGTGCGAGCTTTTATTTTAGAAGCAAAAGATTTAATTAATGCAGATCTTGTAGGAAAAAGTGACCCATATGTTAAAGTTAAAGGTAGAAAAGAATTCTTTTCTTTTTCTATTTATTAAACGATAAATTTTAACTGTATTTATAGTACCAGGTAGTATTGAATATAGAACAAAAATAATTGATAATGCACTGAATCCCAAATGGAATGAAGTATATTTGATTTTCTTTATTTTTCTAATATCACTTTTTCTCTCTTTTATTTTAAAAATAAGACATTTGAATTTGTTGTTAAACAATACGAAAGTGATTCTATTGAATTTGAAATATATGATCAAGATGTTGGTAAAGATGATTTTATCGGACGGTAAACAATGTTTAAATAAATCTTTAGAATTTTAATTATTTCATAATAATTTTAACTCATAAGATAGAGAGATAGAATAAAGATTTTATTACAAAAGTAAATATCTCTTTAATCATTCATAGTAAGCGTTCTTCGATCGATTATTGATGTATATTCAGATTAATTCTTAGATTCAATAGGAATACATTTCTATGAATCTTCAATTAAAATGATGAAAAGAAAGAATACTGCATAGTAGTAAATTCCATTATACAATATCTGTCAAACAATTATGTATTGTTATAATTCTTGACAGAAGATTGATTTCATTGAAAATTCTAACAATAGATTAGACAAGTGTTACACCTCTCAATCGAATTACTTTTGATTTTCGAAATTCAATTCTGTAGCTCAAATTTAAATTTCTGATGAAAAATTTAATGTTTTTTTTTTCAATTAGAGCTCAACTTCGTCTTAACACATTGGTTAACGATGATCATATTAATACTGTATGTTATTTTGTAGTAAAATGATAAAATTGACTATCAATTATTTATTTTTTATTTTCGAGTGGTTAACATTACAGGATGTAAAAAAAGGTTCATTAAATGTTAGTTTACAATATTTTTCATTAGCAAAACAAAAATCTGCTCTTGAAATGGTAAGCAAACTAACAATAGATATTTTTGTTTTTTATTAGATATTTATATTTGAATATTTTTAGATTGAAAGAAAAAATAATGAAATGATAAAAGGAGAAAAATTATCAAAAGCTTTACTTGTTTGTTATATTGATCGATGTCTTAATCTTCCTGTAAGAAAACAAAAACATAGATTTTACTTATTTTATTATGTTTTATTTTCTTTATTATCTTCAAATATTAGCGATCAAAAAGAAGAAGTCAAGAACCAAATCCATTTTGTCGAGTTAAAGTTGAAAGTACTGAAATTAAAACTCAAACATTTGAAAGTCAAACAAATCCACAATTTGAACATACATCACAAATTTTATGTATAAATCCTCTTCATGAAAAATTAAAAATTGATGTATGTAATGCACAAAGTAAAAATGAAGTAATTGCATATTTTGAAATGCCAATAAAACAAGTCTATGATACTGATACAATGACTATCGATACCCAATCATATCCATTGAAAAGTGTATCTGGACCATTAGATAGAACAGAAATTATTCTTCGATTATCACTTTTCGTAAGTACAAGATGGTTTAAGTAGGCCTATAAGAATGACTCTCAATCGACCTAATTGAGTTTTGTATAAGATAAAAAAATCATGAGTTCATTATCAATTGGATATCATCATAACTTTGAATAAGATTTATTTTCAAGGTCAACATTTGTTTTGATAGAAAATGACAAAAAGATGAAAAGTTATTCAAAACTATTAAGATAACTTATTGTCCGAATTACAATATCTTAAAAAGATCATTCATAGAAGATACTATTTTGAATATAGTAGATCATAAACAATTTTTGGATTGCTCAAGTTTCAAGTATGAAATACTTATATGTATTCTATGTATCATTTAATTATTGTGTTAATGAATTTTTCTCTACACTTAATTTATTTCGTGTCTAATAGAGTTGTGTAAACTTTATGAAATAAATCACTTTTTATGTTCTAAAACAAATAAGTTATTTGAAAAAACCTCTAGTTCATGCACTCCTTCTCAGGGCAACTTTTTCACATTTTAGATTGATATTTCATGTTTCAGTGTTAGAAACGTTTTGTGCAAATTTTTTTCCTGATCTAATTTTCATTCATGGGTCTCCCTCAGTAATATCTGAAAAATGAATTTAGTAAGTGATTTATTGTAGAAGTAACAAACATCCCTTTAACTTTTGAAATGTCATTCGATGATAAAACGATAGGTGACAAATGATCAGATAGTAAAATAATACTCAATTAGTTTTTTTGACATATCCCTGAAGAGATTGTATAAAGATGAATATTTGATCGAAGAAAACGTCGTAGGAAAATGCTTGAAATATAGATCAATCGTTTCATATTTTTGTACTGATTCGAAAATATTAAATTGGATTGAAGTGACATGCATAATATTTTTCTTAAAAGCCATTAAAATCTCAGTTGAAAATGTTTAAAATTGAGTCTTAACACATAATGGACTAAATTTTTTCCAGCATTCGAAAAGCACCAATAATCTTACGATAAATTAAATGTAGAAAAAACTATATCAACACGATAATTAAACGACAAATGGAATGTATTTAGGTGTTTCACACTTGAAACTTGAGTAATTGAAAAATTGTTTACGATCTATTTTATTCATAATAGTATCTTAAATAAATGGCTTTTTATGAAAATGTAATTCGAACAATAAATTAACTTGATAACTTTGAATAATTTTTCATATTTTTGTTATTTTCTATCAAAATAAACGTTAGGCTTGAAGTTAGACTTCATTCCAATTTATAGTTGCGTCATATTGATTACGAGTTCATGGATTTCTCATCGTATACATAATTCGATTAGATCGAGTCTTAAAAATCAAAAGGAATCGAAGTGCATTTTTTTAGACACCTACTTTTTACAGAATAAAAATAATCATTGATTATTGTTTTATACTTTGAAAAAGATTTTATCTCCTGGCCATTCAAGTGAATCTCGTTTAAGTTCATCACCACAAACACCATCTGCTACGCCATCAACATGAAGAACAACTACAAAAACAGATACTAATCGTAACAATATGCAAGATTCATTATCTTGATCATCATTGAAAGAAGATAATACTTAGGGGTATCCAAGAGTGGTGGCAACGACATTTTATTACCATATTTTAGGGTTTATAAAAACTTCTCTTTTACATAGGATGATAGAGCGGAAAATGCTCTTTCTTTTTATGCTATTTGATCGTACTTCGCTTGACACAATAATAACAAAATTTTAATAAAACTACTTCTCCTAACATGTGGGTGTTGGTGGGTGTGGTATGGGTGTGAGTGTGTGAGCAAGGGTAGGGTGTGGGTATGGATGTGAAACTGAGAGTGGGAGGGTGAGGGTGTATAGGTGTGGGTGTGGATATCAATCTTCTCCTCATATCCACACTCACACTCAAACTCACCCACACTCTCTGGAAAGTTTACTTACATTATTAAAATGAAAAATTATTTCAAAGCATATATTCGAAAATGAAAAAATCCTGAGGCTATTAATTATTATTTATTATCTACCTGATTTTCGGGTGTGGGTGTGGGTATGGGTGTGTGGGGTGTGGGTGTGGGTGTGGGTGTGGGTGGTGTGGGTGTGGGTGTTGATGTGACCTTTTGACACAATTCACATCGACACCCACCCACACCCACATCCACACCGACCCACACCCCCACCCACATCCACACCCACACACCCACACCCACACCCAGACCCACACCCACAT